ATCCAAATCCGGCTTTAAACTTCTCCACAACAGTATCTCGGACCTGCCTGGTGTGTTCCTTTGTCTTCATGGTTCTCTCTGTGCTTTAAACAGAACCCTGAGACTATCAAAGAGCAGGTGCCTTTATACGGAAACTTGATTACACACAGGTGCATTCTATTTATTATCATTAGTCATTTAGGACAACATTGGATCATTCAAAGATCCTCACTGAACTTCTGGAGTGAGTTTGCTGCACTGAAAGTAAAGGGGCCAAATAATATTGCACGCCCCACTTTTCAGTTTTTTATTTGTTAAAAAAGTTGAAATTATCCAATAAATTTTGTTCCACTTCACGATTGTGCCCCACTTGTTGATTCTTGACAAACATTTTTTTTTTATATCTTTATGTTTGAAGCCTGAAATGTGGCGAAATGTTGAAAGGTTCAAGGGGGCCGAATACTTTCGCAAGACACTGTATATTCTCTTGGGAGAATAGACAGATGTTGATGTATTCAAGGTCTTCCATTCAAGTTAATTTTGACCAAAATAAATCGAACTAAACTGAGTTCAGGCAGACATACAACACGAGTACTGGCACTTCTAGTACAGTAGCAGTAGTGTTGTTGTTTCAGTTGCTGGACGTAAAACAAATAAAAGAGAGACGTTGATGGTTGATTAAATAAAATCAGTAAACATAAAAATAAGATGCCAAAATCTCAGCCCAGATGATTATAGGCACAGAAATAAAACAAAGCGGTGTCACTCCAGCGATGTCAAATTATAGATGAGTCAGAAACACCTCAAGGGCAAAACAGCTCCTTTATTACACATTCATTTACTCCATTAATGCAATCCCAGTTTTATAAACAAAAATGTTTTACTCATAAAAAGAAAAAGAAAATATATTCTATATTTATATAAGAAAAGTAAATCATTTTGTATACTGTTCTTGGGCCTTTTTTGTTTGCAGTTCAACAACAAAATTGAACCCTCCGTTACTTCCCTACTAATCATGGAATCAGAAAATTAGATCTACTCTGAACATGCACATTTTATGCAAGCGACTAAAGGATGAGAGTTAAACATGGAGCGTTTGAAGAGCTACCACATCTCTCTGAGTATGAGTGTGTTGTGGTCAGGCGGCTAAATCTTTGTTTTTCCCTTCACACAGAGTCTCGAGGGGAAACCCCAGCCCCAACTGCACTAAGCACATTCACATGCCTCCATTCCCATACACGGTTCTCAATCTCCCACTGATCGCACACATGCAGTCCAGCTCCTGTTCTTTGTATAAAAGGTAACACTAGGAAAGATACATGTTAGTGTTTGTATTGAGCCGTTTTCTTATCTATTGACCAGCCTTCAGTTCCAACACTCCTCGTCCAGTGTGATATGGAAAAGGGGAAGAAAATCTTTCTCTGCAGATGCAAACAATGTCTGAACAATCTGTATTTATTACCCCTCAATAACAACACATTGGTTTAGTTTTTCTGGTTAGAACTAATGAATGAACCCATTATGAAACAATCTTATTAAGAAGAAAATACATAGACATTAAACTGTTAAGCGCATTGTATTCCTTGAAACAAATGACTCTTTTTAAAAGACACAAATTAAGCAAAACATTTTTTTTCTAAATGGTTCAAAACATCCAAATGTAATACTGTGGCCAAGTTTCGGGAAACATGTATTAAGAGTTGTACCAAAACCTCAAGTAGGACACTAAAAAGTGGAACAGCCTTCATTTATAGTAGATGAGGATTGTCATAGTGATGAACATGGCTTGACTGAGGAGGAAACACCTCATGTCTTGTAAATTTATCCCTGGGCTGGGTTTTATTTATGTATTCATAATCGTAATGATGAAGAAAAGATATTTAAAAATATATAATTGACACAATAGACTTAACTTTGCTCAATGGCATTTATGTGCATTAAATTGAGAAATGTGTTTAGGGAAAGGACATTGTCATTTACCTTTCACAATGTTTGGCTTAAATATGCAGCAGCTTCTTATTTGTAAAGTGCTTCACACATCTTTGCAAAACATGCACAAACATAATGTGCATTAAACATCAAAAATATTAACATTAAAAATCAAATTCAAGTAACACAGGAAAAACACATCCAAAAAGGCTTTCCCAAAATGTACTGAAATGTACAAATAAAGCAGTGATTGGCTTTTAGGCACACATTTGACGACTGGGCATCTTGCCTGCTATAATTGTAATATGTATTGGAGATACGTAAAAAAGAAAAAGAAAAAATAATTATTGGCGATGATGCGAAAAAGGATATCTCCAAATTCACTTTTGCGATATTATTGTCTACGATATGTATACCTAGACCTCTATAAACAGGATGTGAAGCTTGTATGAGTTTAGCAGTTCAGATTGTACGTCTTGCAAAAATAAACAAAAAACAGCCACAATTGTTCAGATCCAAAAAAAAACAGAACTGCATACATTGTACTGTAAATTCCATTTTTAAATATTCAGTGGCGGTACCTCTGCTGCTCTCCGATGCATGGAAGGGAGGGAGGGAAGGTGGAGGACCAAGAGGACAGATGGCCCCAATCTGGTGATGAGGTTGCGATAGTCCTCCAAGAGACATCGGCCCAATTGCAGCCATTTTACATCTAAACACTGCTTAATATACATATTCTGCATTTGAATTCGTATCAGCAGCATGAATAAAAGGAGGAGGTAGCCCAGGAATAGACATTTGTGATCGTTCTGCTGATTGTCCTGTTGTGTAAACGGCTGTAAAGTCTGGTTTTAAGCACATATTAAAAAAAGCTTTTCTTTCTCTTCAAAATAAAACAATGTATTTGTTCCAACAGAAACAAATACACTCTTTCTGTTGGGACAAATACAATGTTCAAATCACACCACATCATGCAGTCTTTATCTTGTTCATCATGCTATTCAATTTATTTTTGGATCACAACAGCAGTCATCTCAGACAACTTTCCAAAGTTATTGCTTCCGCAACAACAGATCAGAGAATAAAACAGTTTGAATACAGGAAACACAATAACAAAAACATTGGAGCCATTGGTCCATATAGGGAGCGGTATGACCAATGTCCATAAATGTTAATGAATGTCCCGGATCATCACTGTCAGTAGATCCTCCTGTTCAAAGAGGCATTTGTATTGCATCGTTTTTGTTTAGGTGAACAAAAAGTTAGGTGGTTGTGACAAGAACACTGAAAACCACAGCAACTGCTAAGTGAATGATAACTTTAAAATGATCTATTGCCACATACCGTTACAAACTGAGCCAATGCAAAACTATGCAGGCAGTTACAGAGACACACCCCTCCGGAGAAACAAGCCAACGTCTACAGTGTGCTCAATAAAGTACATGTAAACAACAAGAGTGGTGGGTGACTACAGCGGCTCCGACTGCCAGCACTTAAGCTCTTTTAAAGCATTAAACCATTCATTGCCATTTTGAAGAATCAAATTCAAACATTCCAAATGACAGTGTAATTATCGTGTAACAGGCTTGAAGGTGTTACTACATGGTTGAGAAGGGCTTTGGTTAATGTAATGTACAAGGATATTAAAAGACTGCAATAATACTCAATGACCCACAAAGTACAGTAGGAGAAGTCTTGTCTGTCTGTGTGTGTGTGTGCATAGGCCGTACAATATCAGTTTCAGTTTTAATGTCTGTTCCTAGTGCAAAGCTGGCCTCTCGACTACAGTGGTTGGGTCAATTCCACTTCAAGTCCCTTGGCAACACATCGCGTACTCCATGCATGCTTTGACTGCGCGCACACACCCACCACCACCAGCACGGGACTGTGTAATAACACTGCCGAACAACTGCTGCAGCGCTATGACGTTGTGTCCAAAAGGTCTTTAGTTGGAATATTCCAATGTTCTTTTAAAGCTTCAGAAATCAGTGGAATGAACAGTGCACTGGCTCCTCTCTCTGCTGTGACACAACCATCAATCGCAACCCCACTGCGAGCCCATTTCATCCTCTGACGGCGTTTCATGTGTTGCCGTGTGATGGGGAGTGTGTGGGCTATAGTGCACTGACGCACCTCCTTTTCTCTGCACACCTAAACCATGTCTTGTTTAAGTGTTATTGTTTGCACTAGGCTGGCGCTGGGAAAGAGCTTCTAAAAAGAAACCAAAGAACTCTATCTGCTGCTACATGACTTCATCCGCTTCCAAGTAACTCGATGAGAGCGTTTGTCAGACTTTCCATTTCCAAACAACGGCAGATCTATGCTTTCTGGATGCACTGTCCAAGAGAAACTGCACTTAGATCACAAAACTGTATGCAAACACAGTTATCTTGTGGCCAGTATTATTACAAGCCTTGCATTACTAATAGCAGAGGCTGACTGAAATGTCAGCAGTGAGGGAAGTAAAAGGTAAAATGTGCATTTCATGGACGTGTGTGTATATATATATATATATATATATATATATCAATGATTTCAAATTAGAACTCTTTAGTGGAGTCCATTCACAAAAACACTCAATTCAAAAGATCCTGTCTTTTCTAAGTGGTAAAATGAGATGGCTATACAGTTTTGAAATATGTTATACCCACATAAACCTGCAACTGATCCAATCCAATTTTAACAATTTTCTTTTATTGAGAAAAATCCTCCTGTCAACCATGTAAGGTCACAACTTAACCACCCCCACTCTCTCAAACAGCCTACATCTGCACTCAGGAATGACAGGGTAATGGTCCGCAGATCTAACAGCATTACAACCTCACATGCACAAGACTGCAATAGCATCCACACCTCAATTTCAGAGATTTGATCTCTAAAATATACCATGACAACAAGGCAGGAGGGACCAGCGACTTCCATGTACACCAATGATAGCCTTCTGTTACCACTTTTGCCTCAACACATCGAGATTTAATGTCCGCAGTAGCCTCGATCTTCAAAATGCTGTTACAATAAATGCTGTTACAACACTGCGGAAAACAATAGGAGGTCGAATAACATACAGTAGCGATAGAACTGAATACACTTACTGTGATGTGAATGTAGGTTAATGGGCGATGGTAAATATTTTCCGGAATGAAGAGGTGGCGGATGACTGGAGCCCAAGTGGCCGGAGGAGGGTGGGATCCTGCCGGCTGCTCGGTGCTGCTCCAGGGCGAACCCGGCCAACAGCGGAGGGGGGACATGGACGGAACGCGGAGGTCCAAAATCTCTGCCATCCATTATCCACGACAGAAAAAGTTACTCAAAATAAAAAGCCACTTCTGGCTATGATAATGTCCGTAGGTTTTCAGGCGAAACGTGCCCCTTTTCAGTCATGCTGCTGACCTACAAAACACAACAAAAAGCACTTGATGCAAAGTGGGAAACGTAGATCCATACACGGCTTTTGGATTACTCCTGTTCTGGGCGAGCGCTCGGCCCAAACGAGCAGTGACGCAGTTAGGAAAAACACTTCAAAAACTAAACGCACCCCGTGTCACAAACATTACAAAGACGAGTCGACTTCCCCGCAGTGTATTTAATCATACTTCAACAAAACACCGTGCAGCTGTAATGTTTTAAGAGGGCTTGAAGCGAGGAAGTTTCGCAGCGCTCCACCCCACAGCAGCCAGAGCTGCAGCCGCTCAGAGCTGCTCTTCTCCGGGAAGCACAGCGCGAGAGGGCGGCTCTAGAACCGTCTCCAAAATAGTTCAAGATTTAAGAATTCCACCACATCTTAAAGCAAATGCTGTGTTCGACCACCGCTGCTGCTTCTAGCCGTAAACAGTAATGCTAAGGCGAGCTCGAGACCTGTAAGCCAATACACCATAAATACTCAAGTCACATCAAATATATATTTCAAACGGGTTAAAAATAAATAAGGTTTAAAAAGGTTGCATCATTAATCAGTTGAATGTGGTGTTTTGTTGCAGTTGATACATCCAAATAGCCGTTTTAAGGGGCAGTAAGCAGACTATTGTGGGCTGCTTTAAACGCATCAAAATGGCAAAAATAAGAGCGTCGCGGCTTCAGCTGTAAACTTGTGTCTTTGATCACAACACGCACTATGCGTTATAGTATACTTACTGCGCATTTAATCTAATCGCGAAGGTACTCCGGACATTAACATGAGTATCTCTGCTCTCACAACTGTAATTTAAGAATAAAAGGTACGGACTTCTATCTGAAAACAGCGCGACACTGGCTTTTCTGGATAGAAACTTGGTGCGCCATATTTAGCCATTCTCGTATTTTAAAGAAATCTTTGCGAAATGGTCATTTAACAAAATTAAAGTTTTCCCATTCATGAAAACGAGCAAACGGAGCTGTGCCTATCGCTTTCAGACGCGCGGGATTCACTAAACTAAGAATTTTGGGAACTAAGACTAAACTAATATAACGCGTTACTCTTCCCCAAAAAGTGCAAAAGCTCGTGTGTCCAAAGGCGCTCAGCGGGAGAACCACGCGACACACCGAGGAGCCACGTTTCAAACTTTTCACGGTAACAGTTCAAACTTTCTCGCTTGAAAGTAGAACAGTTTGGTTCGCACTCAGTCAGATTACACTGCTTTACCCCTATGTGCGCGATAGACCCCGCGCTTTTTAGTTTAGCGCGTTTTTTCCACAATTTTTTACAGTTCAATTGGACAAACAAGAACATGTCGAAGAGCTTACTTGAAGGTTGGAAATGAGAAGCCAGCTAAAATTGCAAACATTAAAAAGCCCTCGTCGCTGGGGAAGTGGATTAGTCCATTACATGGCTGGTCCAAAGGCAAACTGTACTAGCGATACCAGCGAAGAGCCTCCACCGAGTCCGAAAACTGAAGAGCAATGAAACGCAGCATTGTTCCACAAGGCCCGCCCTCTCCCACAAGCCCCGCCCTTTCCCACAAGCTCCTGTGGAGGAGACGAGCCCTACATCCTATAGGCTGCTCTGGATGTCAATCAAACACAATTGCGTTACTGAAAAAACTGCTTTGGCCGCTTGCCAGCACTATAAACCCAATTATGGAGCAAGGGGGCCGAGCCGTTTCAAGGTCCCCTCTGCCTTCAAGACTGAGGGATCAAAACAAGAGGGGTTTTTGGTGATGACGGTGGGGGCGGTTTGAAGAGTGTATTCCTTGCCCCCTATGGGTGACCATTTTTGTTTCCAGGCTGATTAGAATGACGCATAGATGTTGTATAACGCATCATAGGCTGAGATTTGAATATGTCCCGTTGACATGTCTCGAAAGTTCTATAAATATGTTGAATACGTTGCTATTTAATCTGATATATGATTTATGGATATGGGGCGACAGTAGCTCAGTTGGTAGAGCATTGGCCTTAAGGCCAGGTCGTGGGTTCAATTCCCACCTCTGCACCTTCTCCACCGACTCCCACTGGACGACTGCTGTCGTTGTGTCCTTGGGCAAGACACTTAACCCCACTTTGCCCAAAAGCCCCCACTGAAAGATCAAGGCTATGCTCACACTCAGAGAGCAGCCGTCCTCCTGTGGACTCACCACCTGCAGAGGGTCAGTGAGGGGCTGGTGCTATGAGACTTGGGTGGCATCTCTGACTGCCACCCCCCCCTGACCCAGAAATGGATTAAAGGGTAGAAAATGGATGGATGGATGGATGGATGGATGATTTATGGAACTAGTTTGCGTGAACGACAGGGCCTGACCAACTGTGGTGATAATTGTGGTCAGTTGAGATGGTTTCTTTGGATCAAAGTTGGAGGCACTTCGTATAATTAGAATAACTAGTGGCTATATGACCTCTATTGCGTTACTTTATGGCCTAGTTCACAAGGGGGACAAGACACTTCTCATGCAAATGACCAAAACAAGCAGCACCTGGACGCCGCGCACCAAGTCTGAGCTGGGCTTGATTAGCATAACAATTAAAAGTTATGCAGTTATGTTCAGGAAACATGCAATCTACACCAAGTTGAGAAGCTGCCATACTAGGACGTAATAGTTTAGAAAATCGGGTAAATATTGTGCAAATGGTCGTTGTGTTGAAGGAAAAAGTCGATTAAATATAATACACTGTTTCAAATCACCCTTGCCCCACCTCCTCACAGTGAGACTGTTTCAAGGGTGCCCACAGAGAGAGCGGAGCAGCGAGGAGCTCCGTGCGCAGGAGGCAGAAGCAGGCAGCAGCAGCAGCAGAGCACACAGTGACAGCATTCACAGAGTTCTCCTGTGAAGGATGGGTCTGCTTCTTTTACTGAAGTTGGTCTCATCTTCTCGTGCAAACCAACTCAATATCAACATGCAATCTGAACTCGAAGTGAGCTGTTTCCTGCGCTGCGTTATTCACACAGAAGCGACCGGGGCTATGGAAATGTGGCCCAAAGTCTTTGTTTTTATGGCTCACAGCACCCAGGATGGTAATACAGACAATGCCGCTGAATAAGTATGCGATGGGGTTGGTGTAAACCCTCAAGCAGCCGCGTTTTCATCTTGGTAGTGCTTTCTCTCATCTGCTGAAGTTGCGTATCTCAATTAGCCTGTGTTGCTACTACAGTGAGCTCTAACAGCTGATATGTTCAAAGCTGCTATGCCATTGCCTATCACACATATAATCATCACATTATAATTCTACAATTAGGGAAAAACCTGTTAAAACTGATCATTCATGTTCTGTAAACAGTGCGTTTTATGTTCAAGTTTTCACGGAATTGAACAGATGGCATAAGCATATGATCTGAAAGGCTGTTTTTGCCCCGTGATATTGACGATAACTGGCATGCAATGTATTGCAAATATAGACTGCAACACTGCAGCAGCTGATCAATTTATATTTGAGTAGAGATAAACTAAACATATATTTTGCACTCTCTATGTTATTGTTATTGCTCTTGGTTATTGTTACCACATATACACCACAATCAAACAAGACTATACAACCTACTATAACCTGAGACTTTGGTCCATTGTTTGGGCTGCAGGATCAGTGGAATGATTCAATTTGGCGACTGCAGACCATCTGATATTCTGCACACATGTGGCTGCATGAAGCCTCAGGGGACACCGCTCAGAGACTGCATTGATTAATTCAGCTGGGGCTCACTCCTCTCTGGAGAAAGAAATACATAAATAAATAAACAAGTGAGACGTGCCCCCTGCATAAGCACCTGCTTTGACACACAACCCCCCTTTAGCAATGTATGGCAGTGTTTTAAAGCACAGTAAACAATCCTAAGAAGCAGCAACAAACATAATACAAATAGAATTAAACCTGTGCAGTCATTTTGTCGACCACCATCCCTTTTCCCCACACCATTACGTCCTCACAGAGCAGCATGACCGCAGGGCTAAATCATTCATCATGCCTTATCTAAAGCACTGTACGCTTATGGAGTCGCTGCAGCTGCAATGCACCAACACTAATCTGAGATGATTGTGAAGAAGGTTGATGGGGGTGTCATATTTCCTCAGACAAATACATGTGTAATAACTACAGTCTATTATGGACGAGTTTGCCTTGTGTGAGGCAGAGTGAAGAGGATCTCCTGGGAAACCTGTCACTCATCACAAAGAACCTGTGTCTCCTCCCATGATCACAAAGAACACATCTTCAACATAAATCTTGGGTGCCTAGATTTCAAACCACAAAAATGAATTATGCTACAATTCATATGAAATCATCTCTCTCAACTGTTGGGTTCTATCATATACATGCATTTTTGCCCTGTCACATCTTAAGATCAGCGTAGAAAAGTGGAACAGTGGAAAAGAGAGAACCACCCTCACTCAGTGGCTCAGCTCTCAGCCCAAGAGTCAAATGGTCACAGGTCCAAAGATAAAACGTTTTTAAATTAAGTTGTTCGCAGCCATTTCAGTTCAATTTCAGTTTAGTTTATTTCAAAGGGGACAATGTAATTTAATAAAACACGATTAAACATGAGTTTAAAAAAGGCAGAATTAGCCCAGGAGGCTATTTTTCATCTGTAGTCCCCTGCCCGTGATGTTAAAAAGCCATTAAGTTTACTTTGAGGCTGTCTGTTGAAACAAACATGTTATTTTCTTACACAAAAAAACCTCTCAGTTACCCAGCACTCTACTATATCACTAAACATGTGAAACTCAGTTTGTTATTATTGTGAAATTTTTAATTTCTGTAATACAACTAAAATTGTGACTCTAATACATGATATAGACTCATCATCATAAATGAATGATTGCGTTTTGATTATTTTGTCGTACAGCTTGAAAAAAGATTAGGTTGTTGTGAAAAGGGACTATATTGATGGTTCAAAGAGTCACCCCGTCATCATCTGATGGATCCAATACACTTGCAGAGTGGTCTTTCACTCTGGTTCAGATCGGATTACTGGCCCGCATTATTCAACATTCATTCATTCATTCATTTTCTTCCCCTTAAATCCATTTCTGGGACGGGGGGTGGCCAGAGATGCCACCCAGTACAACATAATAATCATTATTATATGTTGCAAAATGAACACTGCCAAAACTCCTTCTTACTCTGTTATTATTTCTCCTATTGATTACTGCTTAACTATTTGGTGCACCACAAAACTTAAAACCATTGAAAATCTTTACAAAAGATCTCTCAACAAACCCTTATCTTATCATTGTCTTGTGAAAAATATATAAAATTACAATGTTCAGCCTTCCCCTTATCCCCCACCATCAAAGAACCTTATCATACATAAAATATTCATTATTGAAATATCTTTAAGTCAACCCAAGTCACCACCAGAAAGGACCAGGTTATACTTTGTTGGACACACAGACCGCACTGTGGAAATCTGTGGAATATTGTTGATTACACTGAGGGGATGTCCAAAATATGGCTATAAAGCCCAAATGAAACAAATCGTACATGTTCTCACTAATAGGGACATGAGTGTAGTGCAATAGGAGCATCCAACTTGATATGTGAAGTAGAGCATTGTGTGCATTAGTGATGTGTGTGTAATCAAGGCTTGTGAGCAATACGTAAGGAAAGGCAGGTTTATTTGCATTGCACAGTTCATAACCAAATGTGTTTAACCAAACAAGAAAATTAACATTAGAATTAAAATAATAATAATTACAGTACATTAAAAAAGTGTAGATTACAAGCCTTCAGTTGTATTTACAGCTAAACAAAACTGTTTTCAACCTGGATTTGAACATTGTCAGATTAAAAGCCTGTCTCACATTATCAGAAAGATGCTTCCAGATTGCAGCTACATAAATCCGAAATGCTGCATTCCCATGTTTAGTCCTGACTCTGGGCAGCAGCAGGAGGCCAGTCCCTGTGCTCCTCAGAGTAGTAGATGGTTCAGATGGCGCTAACATGTCACAGATGTACTTTGGTGTGAGGCCATGGAGAAGATTGCAACTTGTGAGGATCATGTGCATAATGAGGTTTTCTGAAACGCTGTGTGTGGACGAACAATGCATTTCCTTTAGCTTAGTTGCATGTTGTGTATCTACTGTACTTGTACATATTCCCTTCTGACCCCAGTCCCTCTGGGACAAGAGATGGAAATGAGCCTTTAGCTACAATCTGGTGTGTTTACATTCATGTGTCTCATCATGTTTGTTCATTAACATGCACTGCCCCAGTCAAATAAATGAATAAAAGAAAGATGAGAGACACAAGAGTGAACACTGCAGAAGAGCTGAAGGCTGCAGTAGAAGCATCCTGGTCCTCATCACACCTCCGCAGAGCCACAGAGCGTCCACGCCACCAAACCAACTGCTAAGTACATATGCATGATTATAGTTCTCTAGTGACTCTCATTTCTCGGTTTAGTATAAGTATATAAGAAAGTATTGTATTCAAACTTATATTTTTCATACATATTAACAAAAAACAAACACAATACACACAAAAAAGGGGTTGGATGAAGCAAAGGCTTATTAGGCTCCAGTCCCCCTTGTTCACTCAATACAAAAACACAGTTTTTGTATTTTTGTTTTATGTATATATGTGCTATTCTGATTTTTTGATAATAGGTTTTTCAAGCTGTATGCCTTCACATTTTAAGTTCTACAAAGATGATTTAGATTGAGAATAAGAATATTGTGAAAAAACTTCATCTGAGTTTCACCTGTGGGATTGTAACACATATATGAGAACATACAAGAAACCACACAGGTCTTAATGACTAATGAGGAAATTGAAGTACATGTGTACATCATTACTTTATTATTTAGGGCTATATACGAATACATTTAATTGAATGTGTCTTGGGTACACGGCCTGACAGTTTCTAAATAACAAGTACATGTCTTGCAGTTGACGGCAGTGAAGAAAAACAAAATAAAGCGCTATTATAATGCGCTGTGTGCAGTAGTTGTTCAAAAAGCAAATACCGTATTTTTTCTTAAGCGTTGGACCCTCAGTTGAGTCAGGAGATTAAGTGACACAGGTGCCCCCTCTATTGGCTATAAACCACAACTGCATACAGCCCTAAGGACCCGTATGAAACGTGATTTGCTAGTATGGCAGTAAACTAATTCGGCATTGTGCAAGATGCAGTCAACGCGAACAAAGGCTACATTTAAAGTAAGATTTATATACCACCTTTTCACTGCAAATCTGAGTCTCAAAGCGGTTTACAATTGTTAATTTTTGGGCATTTGTCTCACTCCATACAGAGATGGGAGCGGGGTCGCCAGTACACAAGACGCATGCCAGACCTATTGTACATATTTAGTGGAAACGTTAAAGCATTGGTCTGGTCTTCAGATGCATTTGAGATTAGCACTAAACTGAAGCCGAGTAATTTGCATCACCATTTGACTTTTCCAAATAAACCTTTTCACAATGGTATAGTCTAAATGAGCAGTGCAACTTTAGTCAAATTAGTTTGCCTAGTATTTTAAAACTCCATGAAACATCCATTAAACTTAAGTTTAATCACTAGGGAAAAGTGAGAACCAAAACTTTACATTTAGCATTTTAAAATGACCAAACGATAACACTGTATTGGAACACATGTGCACTTTATTGGGATTGTTGAGTCAGTGTACAAGTTGGCCCCACCGGTCTGCTGGCACCCCTTGTCATCCCATCACTTGAAGACCCTTACCCCGCCACCCCAGGGATGAAGAGGTCACAATTGGGCTTTGCATAACAAAAAAAAAAACAGGACCAAGATATTTTAAGGCTGAAAGTACAAAAAACCCAGACATAATTTACATACAAGCAATACTACAACCATGTTTAAGTATGCTCCAACCACTGGGCAGCCTTCACAGAGGCAAATACGTGTCTGAACAATGCAGTTAACATTTGGAATTGTGTTGAAAACAAAGCAGTCAACAAACATTTGGAATGACTCAAAACAAAAATGTACATTTATTCCCCAAATGCAGATTCAGTATGGGGTTCATTTCAAATCTAGCCAAACATTACTGTAGCCTTCACTTCCAGTTTTAAAATCCTGAGTCAAGCGCCAAAAATAACTGAAGCCATGCCTATGAGTTGGTCACTTAGGCTCTGCGCCTGAGAATGTATGAGAAATGTGTGGTTGTTTTGCACAGAGCCGAGTTGGGCGTTTGGTCGGGAAAGGGAAGGAGGAACAGTCTGTTTAGAAGCATTTGCGGTGGACAATGGATGGGCCAGACTCATCGTACTCCTGCTTGCTGATCCACATCTGCTGGAAGGTGGACAGAGAGGCAAGGATGGAGCCTCCGATCCAGACAGAGTATTTACGCTCAGGTGGGGCAATGATCTGCAAGATACAGCAACGTTATAAAACAGAACTATACAATGGAGCATGTTAGACAGTAGGACATCTACCTTGATCTTCATGGTAGAGGGGGCCAGGGCTGTGATCTCCTTCTGCATCCTGTCAGCAATACCAGGGTACATGGTGGTACCTCCAGACAACACAGTGTTGGCATAAAGGTCCTTACGGATATCGACGTCACATTTCATGATGCTGTTGTATGTGGTTTCATGGATGCCACAAGATTCCATACCTATGTAGACAAAGTTCTTGTAAATACAATTTTTCTAGGAAAAGATTAGAAGGATGTAGAACCTTACCAAGGAAGGATGGCTGGAAGAGGGCTTCTGGGCAACGGAACCGCTCATTGCCGATGGTGATGACCTGTCCGTCAGGCAACTCATAGCTCTTCTCCAGAGATGAAGAGGAGGCAGCTGTGTTCATTTCCTGCTCGAAATCCAGACCTACATAGCACAGCTTCTCCTTGATGTCACGCACAATTTCCCTCTCAGCTGTGGTGGTGAAAGAGTAACCACGCTCTGTCAGGATCTTCATGAGGTAGTCTGTGAGGTCACGGCCAGCCAAGTCCAGACGCAAGATGGCATGGGGCAGAGCGTAGCCCTCATAGATGGGCACTGTGTGGGTCACACCATCACCGGAATCCATGACAATACCGGTTGTACGACCAGAGGCATACAAGGACAAGACAGCCTGGATGGCAACGTACATGGCAGGGGTGTTGAAGGTCTCAAACATGATCTAGAAGAGAAAGTGAAATATTGAGCCAAGAAAAAGGAATGCTTTGGACACTTCACCCAAAACATGCATTAGTGGCTCAGAACAGTTAGTAGGAAAGTGCAAAACATTCCTCCACACTTGTGCATGTCAGAATTGATGCTGAGCCTATTAAAACACATCTAACACCACTAAAGACCTGCAGCTGATAGATCATCATAATGGACAGAGTTCCTGAAGAGGGAAGAAGAGCAAGTATGAACCAGAGCCACACCCCCTAAGAGAGTGGAACAAGCGAGTTCATGGGCTGAGGATCTGCCAGTTACCTGGGTCATTTTCTCCCTGTTGGCTTTAGGGTTCAGGGGGGCTTCTGTGAGCAGGACAGGGTGCTCCTCAGGTGCAACTCTCAACTCGTTGTAGAAGGTGTGATGCCAGATCTTTTCCATGTCATCCCAGTTGGTAACAATACCGTGTTCAATAGGGTACTTGAGGGTGAGGATACCCCTTTTGCTCTGTGCTTCATCACCAACGTAGCTGTCTTTCTGGCCCATACCAACCATCACTCCCTAAAAAAGAAAGTGTAGAATTGTTCATACGTTGATTTAAATTCTGCTTCTAGAAGGCTGCAGTGCATATGCTCCACCCACCTGATGCCTGGGGCGACCAACGATTGAGGGAAAGACAGCACGAGGGGCGTCGTCTCCGGCAAATCCGGCTTTGCACATACCGGATCCGTTGTCAACAACGAGTGCGGCGATTTCATCGTCCATGGCTGAACTGAAAAGGAAAAAACAATTTAAACACTTTAGCCTCAAAGACGCGCATGTTAATAACCTCACTTCCTGTCAAGTCTAATGCATTTACTTTTAATAGCCGCTAGGTGGCGCCTTTAATCCGCATTCCACGCCAGACAAAGGAAGTGCGCTGCATTCTGTCATTACCATATAAGGACAAGGTCTGGTTTTGAGCGGCTTTGCGGCTAACTGTTATATGGCGCGAGGCCAATGACCAATCACCAGGATTCGACACACTGGTTCCGGGACCACTCCCACGGTCCACTAGTGCCCCACTTCTACCGGACACTCCCAGTGTTGCCCAATCACTAAGCTCAAAGACAAAAACCATTACTGCGTCACGAGCCAGCTAACAATTTTATTAAACTTAAGCGTTAAAACCATAAAACAATAACGGATCTTGAGGCAACGCCTTAGGATGCCAGATGCCATGTGTATTAACTAAATATAAAACTTAAAACTAGATTTAAAATATAAAAATAGAAACTATGGAATTTAATTCCTATTCCATTGTGGTGAATGCAGGGCTGAGGAGCTGCGGAGTGCTGACCGGTGTGGCTAAGCTAATGTGCTAAAGTAGGTCACACCCCGTTGCAGCGAGCACAAAAGAGCAGCCGGGTGCAGACCAACTATTCAAACACATTTTAAAACTAACGGTCAAAAACCACAACTGGTAAAATAAATCTGGGAGGCAACCGTAACAGAAAAAGATTAATTTGGATGCCTTGTAATAATTTACAATCCAGTTTTATTCAAAAGCCGGCCGCAGAAAGCCACAGCACCTCATCTTGGCTAGTTACCAAAAAAACATCGATAGATCCAGTAATCCAAACATAGTAATCACATTTTAACTTAATATCGACAAGACAAAAGAACATCACGGACCATGCTTTCAATAAAAATGCAACCATTCCTCGAATTCGAATTCTCATCGATAAACAACGGTTCAAAACGAAAGCATCATGCAATAACGTTAACATATGAACACTTTCTTACCTTTGGGTGTGGGGCTTTTCGTTTCAAGGGAATCTGTTTCAGGCAATGATATCCCGCACAAGCTGTGACGGCGCTCAGAGTGAACAGTGAACTGGGGGCGCGTGGTTTTTATATCCGCGCAGTCGCCCGGCTCTCGCCATAAAAGGTAAACTTTCGGAAAGGCGGCCTCTGATTGGTCTAGCGTCATGCATTGGGGCACGTCGCGTGCACACTGTTGCGCACTGACCGCTCTCGATTTGAGGGACACACAGAGAGGGAGGCGATAATAGCAAAGGATTGTAGAAAATAAAAGGGAAGGGATTGATGCTGGTGAGGCCTCGTAGTTTAATCCTTTGACAAATTGTTCTATGTATAAGTTTAAAGGAAGGAAAGGGCTCTGCATGGTTTTCTTTTGCATGCTGTACTCATATTGTGGAGCAATTTAATAATGACAGCTTTTTTATTAGAGTAGGGCCTCTTCCGCTTAGTCTACACACCCAAGAGTGTACCACCAACTCTACCCTAAATTTATTTCCCTTTAGCCTTAAATAGACAAGGTGAAATGATGTGAATATCTTTGCCTAGTGTCTACTTTGAAAAGCTTCAGCAGCATCTCCAGTTCCAACTCATGACACATATTTATAACACAAACAGTGAGCTGCTAGCTAGAGCCTGGGAATTAAGCCACACTTTTCCCTCATGCTTCTCATAAATACTGTCATTTATAGATATTAATTTATATTATTAAATACCGTCATCTAAGCTAAAAATGACATGCAACAACATACTATTTGTCTATTGTTACAATTGACCTCTCATATTCATCAGGACCTCCAGTGCATTGATGCACATATGATCATGTGTATCCCACGTAAAGTGGAATTCAACTTGACTCACCATTCACCATGTGCATATAATATAAAGTGGACTTTGCTTTGCAATGTCTTGGACACACCTTTACAACCTTGCATGTGTGTTAGGAGATCTGGCTAAGTAGTTGTCAACACTTCATTTGGAAGACTAGTAGCCAAGTGCCTGGAATAGTGTCCTGGTGGCCTCCTCTCATATGTCATAACAGTGTGTGAGAGTTTGTTTATGTGCTGTGTGTCTGTGAAAACAGAGACTCCTAAAAGTATCTGTGACACCCCCTCTCTTAAATAAAAAAGGAAACAGATATAAAAAAAAAAGTATAAAATAGTGTTGGGGTGTAAAATTACTAAAGTTAAATATCGATTTAACAATAAACAATAAAAAACAAATTTGTTTCTTCCACCAGCTTTGAGAGCATTTGCTACTTTCCTGCTGGTTCATGTTACTGGTCAAACAGTTACTCTTGGATCACTTATATACCTCCAGGTCAAAGGCTGAATGAGTGCAAAAAACCTTATTGCACCACACCTTTTTTCAGCTTCTCACTTTTACGTCAGACTGTACCAAGAAAGGGAAATCTGGTGCATGCAAACACCGTGTTCTGACGTCAAGTTTTTTAAGGTAATCCATCGAGACATTATGCCACTCCCTTCCTTACCAAAACTATTCTCCCGGTTTTATATTTAATAAGACAATCGGCAAAACACACCACGCTGGGTTATTATTTCTATTCATGTAATAAAGAGTAGTAAATTAACAGAAAAGTAAATAAGTTATATTTAGCATCATAAAACAAGAACTTTTTGGGTGCCTGGGAGTTCTATGGAATGTGGGGGAGGGTGGCAATTGCATGAAAAGGCCTTTTGCTAATGTGGTAATGCTGGCCATAGGGGGTGGACATGAAGTCTATTCCAATGCATACTCCATTTAAAACATCTGCCACCTCTGAGTCTATCGGCTCTTTTTCTTTGCAAGACATTACCTGCTATTAGTCTGGAGTTTAAGGTGCAGAACATTGCAAGAAGACAGTGTGGGCGATGTCGCTGACCACCACAGAGGAAATAAGTTCTATTGTTTTGGAAATGGTTTCTAGATTTTACATTTGTATCTGTGCTGCTAGAACACAACAGGATGTAAAGTTTATCTATTCTCTGTATAGTTTTTGATGAAAGATGCACTCAGTCAGCTACATCTCAGTTTGTCTTTGATCATACTGTCTATCAATGGAAACCAGACCAGAGATACTGATTTTTCCAATCTTGAAACATAAATAATTGTTTAGATTTATATTGAAATAAAAAAATGCATTAAACATCTATAAGTCCCGTAGTGGGAAAAATAAAACATAGAAATGAATAATAATTCATTTGTATGTAACTTTGAACTGCAATATAAACAAACGCATGCATATTATGATCTATATAAACATGTATAAATCTATATAATCACACCTGGTAAATAGAATTGTTACATTATTAAGCCTAAACCATCAGCCCTACAGCATCACAGCATCCATCTATGTTTATGATGAACTATTAATGCTCAATGTTTACCCAACAAATCTTAAAGATGTAATAAACTAAAACCAAGTATCTTTTCACACATGTCAGAAGACATCAAGCAGGACGTTTTTGTTTTGCATTTCTTCCCTCATCCCTCCTCACAAATGGCTGACCGACCGATTGTGTGCCATCTGTGACTGGTCATAGTTTTCAGAGGGGAAACCCTATTCACCGCCCTCCTCCCCTGGCCTCTCCGTCTTCCTGCCCCCCACCTTCTCTCCCCTAAGTCCGGTGATAAAGCTCCGAGAGGGCTTGTCTGCAGCGTCATTGATCCACGGGTCGCTGTGGTGACAGTCTGACTCCAAGGCACGGGCCAGTTACCAGCTGTGAGTGCGTGTGTGTTTGTGTGTGTGTCAGTGTGTGTCTGCCAGCTGGCCTGTAATGCCTATTGGATTAGCTCCTCATTTACGGCCCAAATGCACCTTATCTCCACCCCCTCCCACTTCTTAAGAGATGCACTACACTACTACGTCCCATCTCACAATCCAGATTATCAAGCATTGATCAACCTGTAAGAGTCACATGATTACCTCTGATAGGGGGTTATGTTTTCACAGGGTTTGTCTGTCTGTTGGTCTGTCTGTTAGCTACATTATTCAAAAAGTTATGGGCGGATTTTGACAGATATCTTTAGGAAACCTCAGGAATCGAGAACAAATACGGTGATCTGATTTTTTGTTCAAATGATTTTCTGGTTCCTTATAATTTCATCTGAGAACGTGGAATTATCAAGGGCAGTAGAACTAAAACTGTGCAACATGTGAGAGAAGGTTACCGATTCTGTTTAACTGATTCTTTGATTGTTCTAAGTCATACTCAAGCTTGTTGGCCAAATCCATCTTGCAAGACAATTTTTAGTGGCTCCTAAAATGATTTTCAATTATGAATTATTAACTTGCACTATTGATGGTTATGGTGTGTTTTACAGCTATTATTTAACGTATTCTAAAATGTTTACCCAACACATTATCAGAAGTTAAATATAAAACAATGTGTTCAACTTTATATTTGGTCCAGTTCTCAAAAAATCAAAAATGTCAAAATATCTCTATAGTGTAAAAAAATAAAAGGAAATCCATTCTACTCTTTCAGCCCTCGATCAGTTCCTATTTTTTTTTAATAGGCCCAAAAATGAGTTGTTATTCATTCTAATATTACCACATGCAACAGGTAAAAGAAGCAAACGAGAATTCCACTCTGCTCTTAGCCCCGTGAAGAACTCAGGGTTTATCTGTCCTATGCCATCTGTTTGTGACAGGCAGGCGGGACGAGCCGCACAGGTTTGTCTTGTGATTGGCTCGTTTGATTGTTGTTGAGCTTTGGACTGAATACATAAACTAACTTGATCTTCATTCCTCCAGCCTCCTCATGCAGCTACAGTGAGCGAGGTCAGCCACCTCCACACGCCCATGCACTTTGTCCTTGGATAGACCAACTCTGTGGACTCTTATGTAATGCCACTTACCCGCCAGCTCTGTGTGCAATGAGTTGTTTTATAACAACATATGGTAAGCAATCACACCACATAAGTAAGAATATTACTGTTACACATACAACAATACATGTTTTTGTCTGACGAAAGCATTGGTAACTTTAAGATGCACATCCAATAGAAATCAACATTGAAATCATAGTTCAAAATATTCTTCATGGAAATCAATGCATAGATACACTTTATGAAATACTGTGGAAAAACACAACCAAAAGATAAGATAAGATAAAATAAAATAAACTTTATTGATCTCATAATGGAGAAATTGACATGTCACATTTGGCATAAATAGGATCACTCTGGATCACAGGAAATGTGCAAAATGAAAGACATTATTATGTAAAAAGTGACTATCAGTGCAAGTTTAAAGTGACTTATTGTACAGTCTGACAAAAGAAGAGTAATTCCATAAAAACAAGCAGAGGATCACTCTCTACTTGGCCTAGTAGAAGTCAGGTTTGTGGAGATGCCCGTAAAAGGGTTTTTTATTTCAATCTTGTCTGTGAGTCTGACTTGTCTTCATTTTTTGTTGAGTGTGTAAAAGTTGTGTGTTCATGTCTATATGTTTGATTTGTGTTATTGAGGGTATTGCTTGTATATATTTTACTGTGTTATGTTTTATCTGTTTGTGATATGTTTTAATTTTATTCCCTTCAGGAGGACACTTAACAACTGTCCAGGGACTACAGATGAAAAATAGCCTTTTGGCTATTCATACAATGTGCTATAAAAGCTACATACAAAACTGCATCGGTCCTAATGCCAAAGACCAAATAGCCACTTGTGTCTTCCCCTCCTGATTTGAGCCATTCTCCTTCCTGTTGTCTGCCTAGTAACTGGAGGGGTTTCTCTTCAGCCCTCTCCAAAAATTGGTGTTGCACTCTGTCATCTCTGCTCCCCTGAACCCCTCACCACGTTCCAAATGCTTTGTCATTCTCTGCCTTTGTTCTACTGTATTGGAAATAACACAATTTTGTGCCGTGGGGGTCGTATTGTTTTGCATCTGGCTGCTGTTCATGTCTGTTTGCAGTTCCCACCCTTTCTCTCTCTTACAAATTTGCAGGTTTGAATGAGTCCTCAGCCAAACACCGATTGGCTGTCGGTAGATGCC